AACACATTTGCAACTGAATTGCAAAACAAAAAGGTACTTCTCACTACAAAAGGATCAAGTACAAGATCTGGCCCTACAGCTGTATACATACGTCTAGTAGGCCTCTGCTCAACCTGCTCAGCCCTCGGAGCATAAGCCTGATGCATAGACTGAGCCGAAGAGACTCCCTAATTAGCCATCGAGGCCTGTACTGACTGTGTCGACTGGTAACTATGTGTCTGTCTCGAACCAGACGCACCAGATGTACCACCCAATTGTGGGCAAAACCTCTTCAGGTGCCCTGCCTGCCCATACTGATAAAAAGTGAGCGGCTGGCCTCTTTCCTGACTCTGGCTTTGAAAACGAGCCGAAGATGATGCTTCTCGCTGTCCTCCTTTTCTCTGAGGACAAGCTGGAGACTTGTGGCCCAACTGATCACACTTAAAGCAAGTAAAATCTCCCTACCCACCTCTCCCAAAACCTGAACTCGGTATTGGAAAAGTGAACCTCGACTGAGTCCCCTGGGATTGCTGAGGGTAGGAACCCCTCTGCCTCTTACTATCTCCCTGACTATCCTGACTCTTCCTGGAGCCCCTCATCCTTTCATCTCCTACCTGCATAATAGTTTCAAGGTGGGCTGCAGAGTGCACAAGGCGCCCATAATCTCTTGTCATGGAACTGGCAACTTTATACATTAGCCCGGTCTTTAACCTCTTCTCAAACTCCAAACAACGGCGCTCTTCAGTCGCCACCAACTCAAGTGCAAGGTTATCTCAAACTCAGCCACTGGCGTGTTCAACTACAACAATTTAGAGAATTGATCTCTCAACTTCTCCCTAACCGTGGGAGGTAGAAATTTATCCTGGAAAGCCTTAACAAAAGCCTCCCAAGTTCCTGCAATGCGCCCATGCGCATACTTCCACCACTGACCCGCATCCCCCTTCAACTGGAAGGACGCCACGGTCACTTTCAAAACCTCGACAGACTAGTAAAGGTTGCCTCAAACTCAGCCACTGGCGTGTTCAACTGCAACAATTTAGAGAATTGATCTCTTAACTTCTCCCTAACTGTGGGAGGTAGAAATTTATCCTGGAAAGCCTCAACAAAAGCCTCCCAAGTTCCTGCAATGCGCCCACGCGCATACTTCCACCACTGACCCGCATCCCCCTTCAACTGGAAGGACGCCACGGTCACTTTCAACTGATCATCCTCGATGCCAAGCATCTCGAACGTCTTCACTAACTGTTCTAGCCACTCATCTACCTTCAATGGCTCCTTAGGATCACCCAAAAACTCATCCGGATTCGACCGGAAAAACTCCTCCTTTAAAAAAGATGGCCCTGCTTCAGCTACTTGGGCTTGGACTTAATTCTCAATTCGGAGAATGTCCATAGACTTCCTAAATGCTCCGACTATTTCACGGGCTAAGGCGCCTATGGCCTATTGATTAACCGGTTTGGCCACATTGGCTTGACCAACTCCTTCTTCCTGTACCAGAATATCATTTGATAAAGGCGCCTCCTGCCTCCTAAGCCTACCACACCTATTACTACCACATCCACGTCCTGACATCCTAACAAAGATAACAACAGGATTAGCACATTTATAAACGTGCCAAATTTAACTCACTCGTGGCCTAATACATTGGACAACAATAAGTCTAGATAATGCCGTCCCATGGCGTTGCTAGAGTTCCAACTAGAAATAGCAGTGATCAATAGGACTTCCACAAACCCGTAGACTCAATCAACATCTTAGGAACTAAATTTCATACCCACATAATCACATAAGCATGTTATCACATAAGCATGCACTACATGCTAACATCTCAATCAAGGGAGACAAACCCATTGTGGTACTAACTATTTCCCACATATCCAAAGTATTCAAACCTGGTATGCTCTGATACCAAGTTGTAATGCCCCCAAAATAATACAATAAAGATAACTCATATGCGAAATAAATATGAGAAACAACATACTTTCATACATCAGAGTTCACTGTTTAACAACCAGTTAAATGCCATGTAGGCTTACATCTTTCTAAATCATTGCTTGGTTACACAAATTGAGTCTCGCTCATTACTTCTTAAACCCTTGGCTTTGCAAATAACAAACATACACACATAAGATATAATTAAGAAGCTCTTACTTCCCGAAAGTCCATCCATGCTATTGCCTTGGAGAAAACATTTCACCTGCACCTGAAAATGATATTCCCGTATAGGGTGAACCAATAGCTCAGTAGAGATAATCTAACACAATATATTAGGTTTACAAAGGAATAAATACTACGTGCAGAAACAATACCGATACTAAAACATCCACAAGGCCTACATATTCATATGTCACTAAGACCAAACCTTATTTCCATTTTCCATCAATTCATTTCAAGTTCATATATGCTACTCAATTCATAGATTAAATTCATTATCTTTCAACAAACAAAATGAGACTACAATTCAATGGTCTTCCAACCATGCAAAACACACATAAACACTTCAAACCTGCCATTTTACAGATATTTCGTCCGAAGGAATCGACACCCATGTATATTTTCTCAAATATGCCATTTTATGGATATTTCATCCGCGAGAATCGGCACCCATGTATGTTTTCTCCAATATGCCATTTTACGAATATTTCGTTCGCGGGAATCGGCACCCATGCATGTATATGATTTCGGGTCTTTCACCCAGGACATTCTGGCCAGCTTGCTTTCAGCGGAGTCCATCTCCTTTCTCCTCCCAAATAAACATACATATACAATGTATTTATAAACATAGCCATATACAATGACAACCAACCTTTGATTAGCATTAAATCTCCTAATCCGCATGCAATTTCTACAACAATCATAGCTAGCCTCCACCGATAGCCCAATACATTTATCTCTAAACAGATATTCAATCTCAAGATAAATAGTTTATTCAAAACTTCTAAAAAGTGTAAGATAATACATATCTAATATCACCATCTATAACCCACAACCTTCTAATTTCACATTTTCAATATTAATCCCAATTATTTATACAAAATAATAATTTAATCAAAATTAGAGCAAAATCTCCCTCTTTCCAAATATCAATCCAAACACCAAAATCAACTATTTTGGCACAACATGATCTTATCTTCAATCCTCATACTCACTTATCTCGTATTCATCAAATACCCCTCTTTTCATTTCACACCCAAATCCTAGATTTATCCAAATCACAACCAAATCTCATCATGTATACACAATAGCAAATAACTAAGCTAAAAATCATATTAAAGTGTAGAAAATCCCTACATCAAGTGTAGAAGACGGACAAGCAAGATCGAAACTCCAAAGATGACGAAACCAACTCTTACTTGGATCAACACGAAGCTCTTGAAGCCCTCTACCTTATTCTCAAAGACACTAGGGTCAAGAACTCAATGAATTTAGATGAAACCTTAGAGAGAAAGTGGTTTCTAGAGAGAGAAGCTGCAGATTTAGGGTTTGTGAGTGAAAAAGAAGATCAACAATGAAGCAAAATGGCGTTGTTGTGAACTGATGTACACCAGGCTCGCTCGAGTGACCAGACACAAAAAGGTCGCCTCGCTCGAGCGTAAGAAGCGTCGCTCGAGCGTAGAATGTGAAGCTTTAGGTCTGCCACCCAACGCAGACGCATGCTCGAGCGCAAGAATCCTCACTCGAGCGAAGAAACATTTTCACAGGGCTCGCTCAAGCGAGTGCAAGAAGTCTTGCTCGAGCGAAGAGGCCAAAATTTGGGCAACAACCATTTGTACCAAAAGACAACCAACATGTTCCAAACTCGCCCAACTAGTCCTAAAACTCAAATTCAAAGAATTAAAGGGAGGAAACAAGACATAGATAACAATATACAATCAGGGAACCCGAGTCCAGAACATAATAAAGGTCGGGGTAAAACCATGATCGTTATATTTCTAATCAAGCAATCTCAGTCTTTTAATCTTTAATCAGATCAATCTTTAGTTTATTTCAAATCAAACAAATCTAATCAATATAAAACTGCTAAAATCGCGATTAAACCAATGAATCAATCAAACCAAAAATGATTTAGTTTAATCGGCTAGATTAAAATACCAGCGAAGTTACACAAAAATTAATTAATTAAAACTTTTAAAATTTAAACTATATTGAATTGAAATATGCACAACACTACAATATTAAATGGGATGGGAGTATAAAATTCACTTTATATAAGCAAAAAAACTTATTTTTTTCTTCTTAGCAATCTCAGTCTTTCAATAATTAATCAGATCAATCTTTAATTTATTTTGAATCAAACAAATCTAATCAATATATTTTGATAACACTGTTAAAATCACGGTTAAACCAATGAATAGATCAAATCAAAAATGATTTAGTTTAATCGGTTAGGTCAAAAGACCAACCAAGTTACACAAAAATTAATTAATTAAAACTTTTAAAATTTAAACTATATTGATTTGAAACATGCACAACAGTACAATATTAAATGAAATGAGAGTATAAGATTCACTTTATATGAGTAAAACAACTAATTTTTTTCTTTCTTCTTCCAATGTAGGATTATTAAATAAAAGCTAGCTAATGGAGATTTTCCTAACTGTTAAAAAATAAGAAAATCAAAAAAATTAGTATGACATATTGAAATACTCAACTTCTTATTAAAAATCTTTTTTTTCCCTTATATAATATATAGATAGATAGTATAGATGATAATGAATGAAAATTGATGTGCATGATAATGTAAGTGTTTGGAAAGTTGCCATTTTAGTAAGCTATTTTAAGAAGCTAAAATTTTTGTGTTTGGAAAGATAGATTTTTTAATAGTTAGATGTAATATTTGTGAGAAAAAAAAGTAAAATGGTTATAAGTTTGATGGGACATTTTGTTTTATTAATTATTTTAGTCTATTTTATCTTTTAGCACTACTTTAACCAAAAAAAAAAAACATTAAAAAAACTTCTTCCCAAATAGCCGCAATGTAACTAACACATTACTTATACATTTTATCTTACAAATAAATGTAATCAAATATACGTAAATAATTTAATATTAAAATGTGCACCAACAAGAACTAAACACCATGAACAATAACACCAACCACCACTAACAAACGTAAATAATCTAATATGCGAACTGTTAAACCCACTAAACCTAACCCACTACTACCTACCACACACACTCACCTCCTCACCTAACCTACCACTACCACCTCCACTTCATCCCCTACCACTTCACCTACTACCTTCTTCTCTTCTATATATTTGATCATTGTAAACATAACAAAATATCAAAATACACAACAATCTTGTAATCAATAATATACATCAATTTATTTTACACGAACTAAACACCATGAAATAAGGGATGATTTCTTTGCTCGACGCATACTTACTCAAAGCCCGCGAAACAATCTGAGTTCTTCAACCAAAGAATTCAGATCATTCCAAGACGACCCACCTTCTTCAACAGCCCTCTTAGCCATCTCTCCCAGACCTCTTGCTCTGTTTCTCATCTCCTCTGCTTCCTCACTCACCACCATCACTTTCCTCACACCCTTCTCTATTGCCTCCCAACCCACCACCACCCTCTGTTCCCCAAACTGAACCCACTCTTCAGCTCCCACTGCAACCCCTATCTTCAACACATTAGTCACAAGCTTTTCGTTGAAAAACTGCTCTGCGAATATCGGCCACGTCACCATCGGCAACCCCGCACTCACTCCTTCGAGCAGAGAGTTCCAACCGCAGTGAGTCACAAAGCTTCCCACTGATTCATGTTCAAGAATCATCAATTGCGGTGCCCAACCTCTGATTATCAGTCCCTTCTCTGACTCTCTCGTTCTCTCTTCAAACCCTTTTGGCATCCAATTGGGATTGTTATCATCTTCCTCGTTCTCTCTCCTCACCACCCATATGAATTCTTGCCCCGAAGCTTCAAGCCCCTTTGCGATCTCAATCAACTGCGAGTCTCTGAATTGAGTCAGAGACCCAAAACATACGTAAACGACCGAATTGGGTTTCTTGGAATCGAGCCATTTCAAGCAATCGTGTTGGTCGATGGATGCTTCCTTACCTCTCTGAGCCTTGTCGTCATCGTCCCTGTTACAGAGCGAAACAGGGCCGATATGCCAGACTTTCCTTCCTTGCTTGTACTGATCGGCGAAAGCAGGTTCGAGCTTATAGAAGCTATTGAAAATAACTCCGTAGCTACTCTCGAAAGACTCGTCAAGTCTGTCCAGCAATCGTGTAAACTCATTCGATTGCTCATTCTCCAATCGAAGTCTTGCTAATTGTAATCTGGTTAATTTGATCTGGTGTGCAAGGACACGCACGATAAACGGTTCTGTGTCGGAGTTCACATGTTCGTGAGGCTTGTGTTTATTTAAGCTCTCTGTAATGCATGCTGTGAAAAAACCAGACCCATAGAAGACCAATCTGGGAATTCCGAACTTGGCTGCAAGATTTGTTGTCCATGGGAAGAACATATCGGCGATGAGGGCATTCGGCCGAGATTCTTCAAGAATCTGTTCGAGAGGTTGTTGAAGCCTGTTCATGGCGGTGATGAACTTCATCTCGGTTTCATGGGAGGTGATTAGATCAAGACTTTCGAAGCCTTGAGGAAGACCAGCCTCTTCGGCAGGGAAGTTGAGGACTTTGATGGCGATATTGATGCTGCGATTTTTCGATGATTGGGTGGTTTTGGAGAAGAAAACAGGGGCGTTGAGAGGGGTGGTGACAATGGTGGTTTTGACACCGCGGGCGGCGAAGAGTTTGGCCATGTCCATGATTGGAAGCATGTGGCCTTTAGCCATTAGAGGGAAGAACATAATGTGAAGCTGATTAGTTTCAGTCATGTTCATCATATTGGTGAATTGGTAAGGCTTTGAGCTTGGAAATTTTTTTTACACAGCTATAACGTTGGCTAACGTTATAAATAAACATATAGATTTACTTAATTTGACTAATGAAATAATATGTGATAAGGTCGCGTGGAGAAAAAGAATTCATATAACCAACCCTATTTGATAGGACTTAAGGCCTGAGAACAAGAAAATGATTGATGGCATAGAAAGTTTGAGAGATAATGAACATTGGCATTGCCAGTGTTTTGGGCCTTGTTTGGTTCGTGTTTCTCAAAAAATTTTAGGAAAAATTCTCTACAAATAAGTTTTCAAAAGTAATCAAACCAAACAAATTTTTTCAAAACTTGTTTGGTTTACAAATTTTCCAAGCAAATCTCTCTCACATACATATCAAATCAATCACTTTTTTCAAAACTCTCTCTCAAAATAATTTTTTAAAACATCTTTTGAAAAAAAATCAAACCAAATAAATTTTTGTACTTTTTATCTCAAAACATATTTCACAGATACAAACCAAACAAAACCTTAATTTTTTATCTTGGTTCAGGCCCAACTACTTTCCATTAATTTCCAAAAAAAAAAACAAAAAAAAAATTAAAATTATTAGGTGGTCCTGGCCGCCACCTACTGTTGCGGCACTGCTCCCATCAATCTTCAAATGCCATACTCGGCGTTCTCCCATCACTCAACATGGCATTCTACCATCACTCTCAAATTTGATCTTATTTTTTTTATTTTTTTTATTAATCACAATGCTCATAGTGCACCATCTGGCCATACCGCAAGATCGCTGAATAAATTTTCTTAATTTTGGACTTAGATCACCACTATTACATTGTCGCCTTGTAAAATAATTATGAAAATTTATTACTATTTTAAATTTTAAAAAAATCATTATGAACGCTTAGATAATGTAATGAAGATCTTTTATTATAATTTTCAAATCTATATTATTATATAAATAAAAATATTGTAGCCTTTTAAAACTTAAAATTCCAATCTATTTTTCTTAATTTTTTGAATTTTAAAAATATGAACATAAGCATGTCAATGAACTATTGGTCGTTGATCATTGTGATATGATTAATATGGTAATATATTTGACATTTAAACTTTAACCCTTCGAAAACATTGTTTATGAAATCTAAAATCAATTTTTTTTTCCAATTTCAAAACATCAAAATGTATTTCATTATTGATTCATTGATCAATAAATTAATGTTTTTCAAATTCCCTTAAATCATGATACTTTTCAAAAAATAAACTAAGATATATTTTCTAATCTAAAAATACACATGTTACAAAGTAACAAAATTAATAAATATTATTTTTTTCAATATTATTAAATTTTATCAAAATGACATTTTTTCTCTTAAAATTCATTTGCATATCTACTATCCATCATAGTGGTTCACTTGAAAGTGATTGCCTCAAATTATGCTCATTCGACAATTATTTTCAAATATATTGTGTTTCTTACTAGGCATTAGTTAACTTTTTAAAACTTCTTCTTAAATCAAATTTCAATAATTTCCAATTAATATTCACTTAAACCTGTGATCATTTATTTATTTATTTTTATTTTTTTTGAGACAATTAGGGAGAGGTCCACCATATATATTTGTGCAAAAGTTTGAGAACAACAAAAATTAATTTGATGGTTAAAATCCCTAAGATCTAAAATTTTAGAAGGATATATGAACCAAAATGCCCTTTCAATCCTAGAAATCCTTTTTTTTTTTCTTGAAAAATATCCAAAAAAATGAAAAGTAAAAAAACAATTACAAATTCATGAAAGTCCAGCACTCATTTAAACAATTTAGTACATAAATCATTTGTACTCCCCTATCATATCAAAATAATATATTTGTCCCCGTACACATATAAAATAATAAAATAATAAAAATATTTTGTTCATGTCATATCAAGGAAATAACAATCATTTTTTTATTTAATTCACATAAAAAATTAAGTTTTTTATTTTTTATTTTTCGTATTCTTTTATTTTTACTGAATTTTTTAAATATTTTAAGCATTTTTATTTTTTATTTTTTAGATACGCATAATTTAGATATACTTAAGAAGTATAATATTTTGTGATATAATGATGGAAATAAAAATGAAAAATTATATTCATCTATAAAAATTTATACAAAAATATCATAAAAATATTGTGATAGTGGTATTGTTGTAAATATAAATCATGTTTATGGGTGTTTTGCTTTAAAGTAAAAAATCACCATTAAATTATAGGGTGATTCTACTTACACCACTCTTTTACCTCCTTACACCCTCCATATGAGATTGTTTTCTTCTTCCAAATTTATCCATGTGTGAAATTACTTAAAAGGATAAAACACTAAAATTAAATATATTTGATTATCTCCTTACACCCCTTGATTTTCAATCCCTATTTTTTCTTTCTCAACTTTTCTTTTCTCTTACACATCTCTTTTGAAAAAGTAATAATCATAGTGTTTTGATCATCAAAAAAAGCAATGGATGAAGAAACACTAGTGAAAAACCATCAAAAAAGTGAAAATGGTGAGTTTTTTTATTAGTTTGGTAGGTTTTTGTTTCGATTTTCTGGGTTGGTCTGCGACTTTTGTTCAGTGTTTCAAAATCGAACAAAATAACATAGTCCGACATTACAGTGTTGAACAAAAAATATAAGTCTAGTATCAAATTGCCGAATAAAAGATACATTTTCGGTAAATTATAGAACAAAAAATATAAGTCTGGTATCAAATTACCGAACAAGCCCAAATTATCATTTGGAACAAAGTGGCTCTGTAAATGTATAGCAATAGAACGCTAGACAAATCTATTTTTTCCAGCAACATAACATTAGAATAATTAAAATTCACTAGCATTTTATTATCGAACAGGCCCAGTACAAATTATTACTACATTATTTGGAAGGAAGTGGCTCTGTAAATGTATAGCAACAAAAGGCTGGAACAAACAATTTATTCCAGCGTTTTAGCACCGAATTTTTATAAGTTGTTTCGTATTGTGTGACCAAACAGGCACTTCAATGTGGACTCTACTGATTTTGTTGGGAAGCGAACTAAAATTATCCAATTGAATGGTAACATAATACTGGGAAACAAAATTTTATCCGGTAACATGGAACTAGAGTAAATCAAATTGTTTAGCATTGTATTACCGAACAGACCCAGCACAAAGTATGGGTGTAAAGAGATGGGTTTTGAAGAGTTTTTTTATCATAGGGTTTGTTTTGGTAATATATTAGGTGTAATGAGAATTTTTTTTTTTTTAAGTGGTGTAATGAGATGGAGGGTGTAAGGAGGTAAAACAGTGGTGTAAGTAGAATCACCCTAAATTATATCATTGTGTTTGAAAATTCTATATAAAAGTTATGTTTATATATCATTACTTAATAAGAATATGTTCAGTTAGAATTTAACGATGAAAAGTTGTGTTTTCAAACACTCAAGTACATATCATCACTCAATAATATTTTAGTCCCGTTTGGTAGAGCTGTGGGAAAGTGATTATGGCTTATACCTTAATAGCTTATAGCTTATAACTGTGAATATATGCTGATTTTTGACTTATAAATTAAGTTTCTTCTCCCCCATTCAAAGAATAAGTTGATTTTTTACTTACAAAAAGTTATAAGCTGTATTGTTAAGCTGAACCAAACACATCAAAATAACTTAAATTAAGTTAAAAGCTGAAATAAGCCCTACCAAACAGGGCCTTTGTGATATAATGATGGAAATATAAATGAAAAATTATATTCATATGTGAAAATTTATATAAAAAAATATCACAAAAATGTTGTGATAGTGATATTATTGTAAATATAAATAATGTTTATGGGTGTTTTTTTTTTTAAGTGAAAGGTCATCATTAAGTTATATTATTGTGTTTGAAAATTCTATATATATTTGTTTATCATCACTCAATAAAAACATGTCCAGGTTAAATTTAATGATGAAAAGTTGTAAAATGATGATAGGAAGAAGAAATAGTATGAAAAAGTGCAACAATTCATGGGACAATTTATAATGAGATTACAAACTTCAGATAGGAGAATATAATTTAAAAAAATGCTATAGGCCTCAAATTTTCTACCAAACAAATGACCAAATGTCTCACATGGGTGTGGGGTGTGAGGTATTTAAGCATTTGTTTGGTATAAAATTTAGTATTCCTAACATTACTCTATAATTTTTAAAGAGTTAATTACTTAAAAGTCTTATTTACAAATGTTATGGTAACTCAGGTCCAATCTACGATTTTTTGAACCAATAAATCCAATTTAGTAAAACTGAGAATATTATCAGGTTTTCTCAATTTTTAAAACTAAGAACATTATCAATTTTGCATAGTAATATTCTAGATAATTGTTTCACTAACTGATGAAAAAACAGATCATGAGATTAAACATTTTTGCCTTTTTACTTATTGGTTTGATTCAACTATCCAATAAAACCGAGAATATTATCAGTTTTTTCAGTTTTAAAACTGAGAACATTATCATTTTTTTTCATTTTTAATTTTTTTTTTCTAGTTGTGCGCGTCAATGCTCTATCATTATGCTCTTTTATGGATACAAAATTTTTCAATTTTGCACAAAAAAATAATTTAATTTTTTTCAATTTTTTCAAAATAAAATATTAGGTTTTTTTCACATTTTTTTTTTAGTTTTTTCAATTTAAAAATTGATGTTTTAAAATTTTGTAAATCAAAATAAATGTCAAATCATCATTTTTCTTTCTAAATAATCATAAATGATGAACAATCATTGTTTAAAGGGTAATTTCGATTATTAAAAAATTAATGGGACTTGAAGATTTAAAAAATCTTAATTAGAATTTAATGAGGTATAAATTTATAAATTAGCACTTGTATTTAAATACATCTTTTTGAAATATGAGAAGACAATTTATATTAATATAAAAGGGATATTTACCAATAAATCCTATCTCACAAACAGTTTTACCGATTGGTTCTAAGGTTATTTTTATTGTTCTGATTAGTCCTATTAGTGGGGAAATATCTTACCAGTTGATCCTATTTCCTTTGTTTAGTAACATTGAGT